CTTGTAAGATATATATAGATATATATATATTTTTTTTTTTTTCTTATTGCTTCAGGTTAGGTTTCCCCCTATACTGGATAGATGAACTCTTGCTGCCATAGCAAAAACGCTTCTCCATTTATATGGCACTGGTTTCATATTCATGGGTTCTATAACTACTTCTGTAATCCTGCGGGCTCAGTGGTCTTGTGAACCACCTAGTTTAGTTTGGCTCTACTGCCTCTCCCATCCCTGAACTGAGTAACTTGACTCTTTGGGTAGGTGTGGTAACAAAAGCAAAGCCTTACCACCAGAAAAACACCTCCTAAACAAGGAAAAGGTTGGCCTCCTGTAAGAGTCCCTTTGTCTCCACTTGGCATCAGCAGTTCTGCCTGACATTGAGCTCACATAAACAGATTAAATACACTCTCTTTCCTGTTCACCTCTATCCTAAGGGCGGCTATATTAACACCTGCCTTCTCTCTGAATGATGCTAGAACTTGTTGAATTTATGGGTGCATCCAGACGAGCATGGACACTCTGATTCCTGTGCACAAGTAGCAACGGTGCACATTGCTCCGCAGCTACTTATCCCCGGGGAACACCCATGCCATGTGTGCTTTGGCACATGGCAAGTTACCCCGGGGGTGGTAGTGGAGTCTGGGGCTAGCACAGTGCTGACCCCAGCAGCTTTACCTGGGGACCTCCTAGGGCTGCAGCTGTAGCGATCCTGCTGTGTGGAGTCTGATTGGCAACTGCAGTGCAGGTGGCCTGGCTCCGCTTCTCAGCAGTGCGTGCTGTATGAGTGTGCACTGCCTGTTTTGTTTTTTTGTGTCCCCCCCCGATCTTTTTTTTATATCCCTGGATATCCTGTGGAACACATCTGCAGGGGTCAAAAAAAATCCATGAGGGGGGAAAAAAAGCTGGAACAGTGTGCACACAGGCAGCATGTGCCCTTTTAGTGCAGAGAACACCAGACTGTGGTATGTAGCGCTGCAGACATGTTTGCGGTGCCACATACTGCACAGCTGGGCTCTTTTTGACGCGCCCATGGTGGGTAGGTGGCTACAGCTGTTCAGTTGTTTGTTTTATATGCTGTCCTTCTCCTCCCCCTTCCCCCCCCCTTTACAAAAAAACCCCCCAAACAGACCGCAGTATAATTTTAAGTATCTTTATCTTAAATTAGTATGGCTACATGGAGGACTCGAATCAGATTTCCTTCCCCCTCTTTTAGGCTTGTTGTATGTGTTTTGTGGGTTTTGTTTGGCTTTCCTGAAACTTCATTGGAGCTTTCGAATCCTTGCTTTTACCCACTCAAATTTTAGTAAGGAAATGCCTCCTGTGCTTCATTGAAGTGCAAAACAACAAAACTAAAGTTGTTTTTTTCCATCATGTTGGCTGTTGCTCTTGGGGAAGTAATGCTTATATACAGATGACATGAAACATAATTAGTACGAAGAATAACTTCCAACTTTAAAAACCCTGGAACAAGTAATAAAATGAAATGTCCCCCAAGTTGACTAAAATTAGATTGGGGGGACCAAGCTGTGTCTCATATGCCGTAAGTGGCATAGACAGCCTCTGTGTGTGGTACTTGGCAGACTGGGGAGGGAACAGGCAAGCGTGGTGGATAGGGCAGGGAGCAGAAAGAGTATCAGATCCCTTAATAGAAAGGGATCAGCATGCCCCCCAAGGAGGGTATGGGCTAATTTGTGGCACACCTGACAAAAAGGTTGGCCTCCACTAACTTGGATTACGTTATTTTGTGTCTGTTTTTATAATATGGATATATATATATATATTTTTTTTTTACTGGCCACATCCAGTCTTTTCTTAAAAGGCATGTCACTGGAAGGTTAATAAAAATGTTATAATTACAGAATTGGAGTGCATCAGAGGCACATAAGATTTTACTTGGAAACCAGCAAGCTGTAACTTTTTTTTTTTTTTTTTTTTTTTTTTTTCAGGCTTGTCCTGGGTATGTGAGATTTTTATTATGAATGTATTCATATTATAAATGCATCAAATTTTGGCATGTAAACCTTGAAAAAGTTTGGCTTAATTATTTGTTGACTTTTCAGGCTATTAACCTTCATCTTTGTTTTCAACAGCCCTGAGAAACCAGAAAGTGTGCAAATAAACATGGAAGGTTCATCAGGAATGAAGTATGTGGATGCTGAAACATCACTGTAGAATCAAACCAAGGGGAATTATGTACCTGTGTATTTGTATATGTATATATCAGTGTAGGATATCATATAATTGAAATGTGATTTCCATGTTTCTTTAGGAAATATCATACATTTGATTCTACAGCTGTTAGCACTGTAGAAATTATCTTTGTATAATGAGATTTTTCATACAAGAAAGATGAGTGGTGATTACACTTAAAATATTTATTTTATTGGAAATTTTATTTTCATTTTTAAATAGGAATATTGATTGAAATGAATACATATTCTTTTCGGTAATCAATGCATAAAGTCAGGTCAGTTTATGCTGATAATTTCTGGTCCACATTTCTTTAGAATTTTGTAATACCTCTGTATTTATAAATTGTACTAACTTTGTTTTTAGTGTAGGCAGTGACTTGGGTTTTTGCAGGGGTAAAACACCAAGTTTCTCTGGTTCCGTAGAACAAATCTTAATGTGCCGTTACATCAACTACCACGTGTTGACTTTTCTCTGGTACATGTTGATGTTTGTTTGTTTTCCCTGAATTCTGTCATTCATATTCATGGCAGTGGCCTTTTAACTATAAATCAGTAGGTGATTGTCCTTTAAAAAAAATTACATCTTTTCATTCTGTTTCTCATTCCCCTTCACCTCCACTTTTTAAAATCTATTCTTAATATTCCCTTATTAATCAATAGCAATCCAGGTGCTGTAGGTTTAATCCCACACCAGTATTTGCCATTTCTGGAAAATCCATGTTTAAACCATGTAAAGTGGACTTCTAAACACATTTGGTTTGGTTGATGACAATGTATATCTACTGTTTATAGCATAGTCTCAAACTCTTTTGAGATTTGTTTTCTTCTCCCTTTGCATGCATATACTTTCCATTGACCCTAGTGGAAGGACCCATATGCTCAGAGAGAGAATACTTTAGAGAATCTTTAAAGCATTTCATGTTCCCATCAGAATGTCTTTTTCTTGCTTGACTTTTTAATTACAGAGTACTTGACAAAATTAGGAACAATCGGTTATAATTCTGAAATGGGTAATCAGTATTATTTTATGGATTACAAATGACTTTGGGTTTTGTGTTTACAGTTCTGATCCTTTCCATTGTAAAGGGCATATTGGATAGCATACTAACTTTAATTTTTTTTTTTAAAAAAAGGTTTTATTTATTTTAATTGGTATGAATCTTAAATGCTGTAAACAAATTTAAATAAGTAAATAGTCATTTAATAATGAGAAGGCATTAGTTATTGTATTGGTACTTTCAAGCTCTGATGCATGCTGGTATCTGAGTGAATAGTATGATTTTACTAAAGTTCAAGATCTTGACTATTTGCCTGCTATTTCTTTTCTTTGTTGATATCCGTTGCCTTACTTTTCATTTCCCAAAATGAGCTCTCTGAAGTCTGAGCTGCTAACAGCATATTTTGGGTCAATAACAATAGTTTAAAATATAAATGGCATTTAAAATAAGATGGTGTTATGTGAGATAATTCTATTTCTGAGGAAGTGTAATGAGTTTTACCTTTCACTTTATGGTAAAACTCATTAACTTCAAAGAGAGCAAAGTTAGGCCAAGGCTAAGCACTTCTGAAGACGACACTGAAAATGGAACTGGGTGCTGACCCACCAGCTATTTTGGAACGAAGATAACATTACAACAGAAATAAAACATTTGTTAGGTGTGAGTGGAAATACTGAAACTGGCATTAAAGTTAAACTTGAACTGTAATCATACTATGGTAAAATTGGTGCTGCTGTAGGTTAGGCTGTATTTCAGGAAAAATAAGTTTTTGGAAGTAAATAGTAGTACAGAACAGTATGAGGAATGCTATGTAAACTGACAGAGTAACAATGACTGAAGTCTATAAGAAATGAGATCTGACTAATACAGAGTTGGGAAAGTTGTGGATGTTTTCTGTGGGCATTTGAATAGTTTGTGCCTTACTTGAGCAGGTGCTCCTTCCAAAAAAAACAAAAACAAAACTCCAGACTAAACAACAACATCTGGGTGAAACTAAATATCTGAATTGCTGTGGGTTTTTTCTTCAAAATTTTCCTCCACTTTTGTAAAGAGTGAAGTACAAGTCTGTAAGATTGGTGTTTATCATTAGGTAGCCTCTTTGCTTATGAAGGAAAAAAAGAATACTTCTAGCAGTTTACGTAGCAGTTTCCACAATGCTTTTTTACTTGCTGGTCTTCCTTTACCATCTGACTCTTCCATACTGACAGCTGTATAATATTTCCAGACACCCAAACTGATGATAGATTTTGACATGTTTAACCCTTTGATGCCAGAGTTTAGGGTTCCATGACATTAAGCATTTTAAAACTGGCTTCTAGTGCCAAAGGGTTAATGTTTTGGCCACTTTTACAGAAAGTGAATATTTTTCTATTTAAGGGTGTTTTTAACCTCTTAATCACAGTATTCCTTTGACTGTTTAATTATGTAAATGTTAATTGGTGCCAGAAATGCCATGACTTGTGAAGCAGTTTACATTGACCTTATGTTTCAATGTTCTGGTTAATAACACTTCTTTTAACTTCTTCATTAGAATAGGACCCTGATATTAAGTGCATAAAACCCCAGTGGCAACTTGCATTTAAGTAATTTTCTGCTTTATTTTGTTTTACATAAATGTTTCCTTCTCTGCTTAAAAAAAAATCATGCATAGTATTAAAGCAAAACAGTGAAGGACGCAGTTTACTGTGTGTAGGTATAAATGTTGCCTTAATAGGTGTTAACAAGCATTGATAATTACGGTGCGCTGATTTACCTTTGGGGTGAAACCTAAGAAAATTAAGTCAATATATTTCTCATTCCAACAGTAGAATACAATAAACAGCCCTGCACTTTTTTAGATGCCTCATTGCCAGGGATGGAGTTAGTGCTACTGTGTATCTGGCTGCAGAGCCACCTCAGGAAGTCCCTCTTTTGGTCCTTTTTTAATTTATTTATAAAGATGTATGTTTACATAAAATAAGGTTCTTAATTTTGACCACTCAATTTAAATATCACCTGAAAGGTTTAATTTACAAAGCACTGTCACTACTTTTAAATATATTCCTTTACAAAAACTCATCCTTTTTAGTATTTTTTCCTATACATATTTTTATTTCTGTTTACGTGCCCATGTTTATGACACTGCCCTCCTTGTTTTAATTTGCAGCTGTTACATATAATTATTTAATGAAAAATCCAAAAACAGATTGCCAAGTTTATCACAACAAAATCTGTAGGGAAGAATTTGATACGCTAGTGAGTTGTTCCCCACCCCCAGCCAGTTGTTCTGATTTTTTTTTCTTATTTAAACTTTCCTGTTTTTTTTAATTTACTTCACATACATCTATCTATATACAATAGTTTTATAACTTGTGCCCTTTGCAAAGGCAGGTTCAAAATGCTGTAAAATATATCTGTAACAAATGTGTAATGTAACAGAGCCTGCACAATTTTAGAGGGTGTGTATTGTATATAAGTTCTGTAAATGTGCAAAATAATTTAATTGGCTCATAGTGTTTTAAATTCACAAATTTTAGGTTTTGTCATAACACCATGTATTGATTCTAATTTCCTCTTATTTCATGATTAGTAATGTTTTAGTCATGTAGGTCGCATCAATTTTTATAGGACAGTACAAATTGTGTGTGAAAGTGTTTTCTGTTTATACCAACAATAATTTATTTTATAGAGAATATACTTAGGACTAAAGGCCCACAGCTTTGACTCTATGTAAAAGTAGTGCTCTAAATACAAAAACATTTCCTAGTGATTTTTTTTAAAAGATAAATCAATTTTATTTTGTAACTTTTTAGCAAAATTGTCAACTATAGGAAAAGCTTTTAGTTGGTATTTATAGTAACCTAACTTTTTCTTCCATATTGAATTTAGTACATATTGGCATTGATTTGGAATAAAGTGTTTTGAATATCAGGGTTTTTTTTTTAAATGATGACACATTGATAAGAGAAGACATGTCATTTTGTAACTTTCCTTTACCTTCCTGATGCATTGTCTTTGTGCAAGCGCGTCTTCCGATTTTGTTAAGCATATTTAAACTGAACAAAAAAAAATTAGTTTTAATAGTCATTATCAAATATCACTGGAGATACGACACTCACAGTCCAGTTTTTTATGACTGCTTTTCTAATTACAAGTGATGTTTTGTTGTTTTATAATATAATCCAAAACTAGTTCTATATTATACCAATGTAGAAACCAATATTGAGTTCATCTAAAGGAACATTTTTATTTTTCTGACATGTCTCATGCGAAAGATCCTCCAGCCTTTGTAATTTGTTTTAATTACCAGTAGAATAAATTTCTTTTTGTAATGTTTCAAAAAGTTGACAAAAGCAATAAAAATCTACTGAACTTATATTGTATTCTTTTAATTTTTGCTTCCATGTCACCATATAGCTTTTATTACAGGCGGAATTTAGTTGTGGCACAGGTAGACTTGTCGCACATGGGCCACAGACTTGCGAGCTCATCTCTTGCACCTGCCACTACATGTAGCAATAGGTAACTTTTTGCAAAAATAGATGTATTTGCTAATCACAACTGGATTGTGTGTTGGGGGGGGGGAGTGCCAGAATGTCCATGTGTCTTAATGACGAAAGGTTCTTTTCACGTTTGTACATGATGATGTATACGTACCTTTTGAGTGTGTGTGGCTAGAGGCAGGGACGCACCCATAACGTTATGGAAACGTAGGGAACGTCTCTGCGGCCCCATTTTTAGTGTTACCCCTTTAGGAGCCCTGAGGTGGATCAACCAGGAGGCAGAGCGGCGGCGCCTTACGCCCTGATTGGTTCAGAGAGGCAGGAGGTGGCATCGGAGGAAGCTCCTGCCTGTCCCAAGCACCTGGTCTCTGTGGCTCCAACACGAGTGCTGGTCCCTGCCGGTCTGGTTGCCCCGGGTTCTGCCTTGCGGCCTGCGACTGCCCCAGCCCGGGGGGGGGGGGGGGAGGGGGGCCACGCGGGCGTCTCGCGCGTCTGCGGCCCCGCCCCCTCTGTCCTGTAATGCCCTCGGCCCCGCCCACTCCCGGGCTCGAGCTTTCCGGCCAATCAGAGCAGCCAGTTCCAGCCTCGTCCCAGCACTGTCGAGGAGCGTTCCCCGCCGCCATGGCAACCGCAGTGGCGTTAGTGGTGTCCAGGGCTCCCGGCACCCTCCAGCACGGGGCTCGGCGATTGGACGAGAAGCCCGGGGTTCTCCAAGACGGCGCGACCCGATTGGGCCGTTCGCACTGACTGTTGTAAAGGGGAAAAAAAGGTCTGGGGGTGGCGGCGCGGAGGATCCGCGGCTGGATGCGAAGCGGACGCGGAGGCGCCAGAGCCCGACGGGCGCGGACAGTGAGCAGGGGATGCCGCCTGGCGCGGGTTGGCAATACAGCGGGGGAGGGGAACGGGCCCCGGCCGCGGCGGCGCTGGACCGGGTATGAGACGTTTTCCCGCTCGGCGGGACCCGGGCTGGGCGGCTGCGTTTCGGTGGAAGCCGGGAACAAGCGTAACGTCATTTGCAACGAGGTCGGAAACAAACCGATACGAGGGGTTGGGGGGTGCGGGGCTGGAGAGCAGCGTTTCTCGCCCCGCGCCGCGGGTCGCCACCCACAAGTGGGTGGCAAGAACCTATGGAAGGGTCGCGAATAAACTTTCAAAATAGAGAAAACGGTGGTTTTTCCCTTGCAGGCTGGATGGCTGCCAGCCTGCGAGGGGCCGCTTGGGGCCCCCCATGCGCGCACACGGGCGGGGGGTGGGGCAGCAGGTCTGGAGTAAGGGGCACTGGGTCGGGACTGGACATCGGGGGTTACAAATGGGCCCTGGTATAAAAACCGTTGAGATCTGCTGCTGTACAGCAAAGGCGAGCTCGAGTGGCGGAGTATCAACACCTCGAAGAAGAGAGGCTTGTTAACCCCCCTGGGATGATGCGTCCAGAAGGGATGGGGGGAGATGACAATGAGCCAGCCATGAAGACAAGTCACTCCCTCAGCACTGCCTAGCTAGAAATGCTTTTGCCGCCCCTGCCAGGCACCGGGTTTTCAACTTTGGGCGGAGCAGGAATCAAGGGGGGCGGGGCGGAAAGTGCACCCTCGATTCTCTGCACTCCCCTATTTCCTCCCCCAGCCACCCCTGCTTCTTTTGTTTCTTACATTATTTTTAAAGACAAACTACGTACTTGCATGGTCTCCTATATCCAGCATGGAAAGCAGTTTTATTTTACTAATGAAAACTATTTTAAAATGCTGGGGTTTGGGGTTTTTTTTTGTTTTGTGCTGATTCCCATATTGCAGCACAGAGAACTCCTGCACTGTGGTAGGTGCCTAGCAACTCCTTCCTATCCAGTCTTTTGCTTATTGTCTGTAGAAGCCAGCAAAAAAGAAAAAAAAGAAAAAAGAAATCATAGGAAAACCAACATTTAACAGTTACAATATTTACAAAAATATTGTAAACAGCATTAGGAATCCTACAAGTAACTTCAGCAGCTATGACACTAGTAGGTGTGGTGTTCTTTATAGATTTCCCCTTGTGTTATGTACATGTAAATGTAAGGTTTCAACTTAATTTATACTTCTGTGCTTTTGGATGCACATACCTAATCCCATGCCCTCTGATCTTTAGAGATTTTTTTTTTTCAGTCTTCATAAGGAGACACACATTACATATTATAGTCACCAGGGCTCCTTTGAGATTGAAAATGATGGCAGCATCTCCATTCTTTTCCCAAATGCTTTTTTTTAGCATTCAGTCTGTGCCTTCTACAGCTAACAGCAGTTTGGCCCTTGGTTAACAGTTGACTGGACTTTACCTGCTGGGTAACTAGAAATCTGTAGCATGTGTCCAAAATGGTACAGGTATAGGGACCCTGCTTTCCTAGCAGACCTTTATGTCATTCATTATGCCAAATGAATAGTGAATAGCAGGCCTTGTGGGCCAAGTCAGGCCCATGGAGCTCCCACCTCAACCCCCACATACTGAATCTAGTGTGCTTGTCACTTCCTTTCACTGTTCTGGAGCTGCTCTGAATCTGTACATGGCCAGTCTGGGACTTGCACCGCATGTGGCACCCGCCCTGGACCAGCTCAGGGTGCTGCATACAGTGCAGTCCCAAACCAGCTGGAGCAGATGTTGTGTGTGGCATAGGTCCTGGTGTGGGTCCTGGGGCAGGTGCTGCACACAGGGCAGGGACTTAGGGCTGGTCCCGCATGTGCCATGTGCAGCTGCATCAATTCTGGGTCCAGTGGCAGTACCAGGGACCAGATGATAGGGCTCCACAGACCAGACGTGGCTCATGGACCAGATCTTTTGACACCGCTGTCTTAAACAAAGTCAAATGCTACTGTAAGAAGCAGATGGATCACACAAACAGCCTCCTGATCTGTGCTGACTCCCCTCAATGTGTTGCCAGAGTTCACCTATCCATAAACTGGATGAAAAGCTAGAATTGTACTTAGAGCTGAGTTTGCCTTTATCTTAATAGATCTATCATTTATGAAGACCCCAACTTGCTGTTGTCAAGTGAAGTGACAAGAATCAATTTCAAAATTGTGTGCATCACTTAGTTCCTTTAAAATGGGTGGGCAATTATTTGGGTCTGAGGGCCGTATAGGGAGTTTTGATGAGCCATCGTGGGCTGGTCAACACCTCAGCCTTCCCCCTCCCCCCCTGCAACAACTCAACAAAACTCCCTGTGCGGCTTGGTGGGTGGGGAGCAGTGTTTAGGAGCGGGACAGGTGTGATCTGCTCCCTGCATGCCCTGCCTTGTGCAGGGGTAGGGAGGGGTGTATGGTGGGGGCATGTGCACATGGGGGGGCAGGGGGGCTGCCTGGGAGCTAGCT